GTTAAAAACCTCTGTTGCTGAAGACAACACCTATACAACTCATTGAACATGCATAAGTTGAGATGGTCCCTAACAAGAGCCTTCACAACTGTGGACTAGTGTTCTTGGTATTGGAAGGTACTCTGCACCACACCAAAGGAGAAAGGTAAACACCAACCCAGCTATAAACCTTCAGTCTTCAGTGATGACCTAGCTGCAAGGTACATTAGTGCAATAGTGGCACAAAACTTAAGCGAATAACCAAGCATTATCTGATTGTATTTAAGGCTCATCCCATGAGATTGAACCCATCCTGGCCACTGAGAAGCAAGTGGAACCCCCAACTTGTGGGAATCTATTGTGTTTGTCTAGCAATTGGAGATGAGAAGCTCCCAGACTCTTAATATTTCTTTTTGCTGGTGATAACTTTGAGATATGAGTTTGGAGATCAACTATTTTGTATAAAAGAGACAATTGTTAGATAGTGAATAGTTAAAATCCATTTCAGATGGTGTACAGGAGAATTCTAAAAGAATTCTGCATGTACAATATGGAAGAGACTGTCTTCTTGTAGAAATCAAACTACTTTAATGGAAGGATGTATTCTTGAGTGAGAACTTAGTCTTCTACTACTACTTCTATATTTAACCTTGACCATATTTCATCATGTAATCTTTAATTCCTGCTTTTAAAAAGTGAAAGCATTGGAGTGGATGTCCCCAAGGTTCTTTATCACCTTATATACTGATTTTATATTATGTAACAGGTCGTGAAACAAAGATGTTGAGTTGGCTTTAATTACTTACAAGGTGAAGACAGAGCTGCCCGCCCCCAGATAAAGCATGAGGCAGCAGGAATTGCTTACTCAGTAACCATATCATTCATTAACACAGATGTTGAATAAATATATAACTGATTTTATTTCTTTCTAGTTATGTAAGCAAAAGTTTTTGTTTTTGTCTGTTTCTGAGAGAGAGAAAGAGAGAGAGAAGGTGGAATTAGATAGGAGGTGGGATGGGGAGGATCAGAGAGGAGATGGGGAGGGGAAAACATGATCAGAATACATTGTATGAAAAATTATTTTTGATAAAATTTAGTTCATTGGTGTATAGCAATTTCCTCTGAGAAAGAACTTTCCATTTTGTAGGTAATCTCATTGAGACAGAGTTATTCTGAAGGGAGGTGAAATATTTTTCAGGGAAACTCATTAAACTCTGTACTAAACAATTCTAAAACTTCAGGAAGTCCCTGAAACTGATAGAATTCATAGATACCTTCTCCCCAGAGCATGCATAGGTTGAAAGGACTGCTGAGAGTCCCTTTCAGAAAAGCTAAGCTGCCCTGATGTGTTGTTCAAATCTTAGATGGTCTTTTAATTAAAACAAAAAACAAAAAACAAAAAAAAAAAAACAGAACAACAACAACAAAAAAAACCAAAACAAAACCCAGAGCCAGATATCAGGGTGAAAGCTGAAAGATCAGAGAAGCAGAATAGCCTCTAGTTCTTACCTCTATGAAATCTTTAGCCTAAAGAGAGTGAGTTCCCATTTCCTCATGCCTTATATACCTTCCTCTGCCCTGCCATATTATTTCCTGGGATTAAAGGTGTGTGTGCTTCCCAAACAAAGGCATGAGATCTCATGTGCTGGGATTAAAGGTGTATGTTACCATTGCCTGACTTCTATGTCTAATCTAGGACTGACTCTGTCCTTTGACCCTCAGGCAAATTTATTAGGGTACACAATACATCACCACACTGATGAGTCTCAGAACAACTGAGCCACCTGGAAATGACAATTTCCAAACTGTAGGCAGACTTTTCTGTCTAGACCACCAGCCAGCTCTGTCCTGCCAGCCACTCCCCAAATAACCACACAGAGACCTAATATTAATTATAAATGCTCAGACAATAGCTTAGACTTGTTTTCAGCTAGCTCTTATAACTTAACCCATTTCTATTAATCTATGCGATACTCTGAGGCTTGTTTACCTCATGTAAATACTTCCTTCCCATCCTGCTCGCTCTGCATCTCATGGCATCTCTTCTTGATTCTCTGACTCCACCCTTCTTCTTCCCAGTGTCCTCTTAGTCTGGTTCTCCCACTTGCCTTTATCCTGCCTAGCTATAGGCCAGTCAGCTTCTTTATTAAACTAACCACAGTGATATATATTCACTCAGTGTAAAGGAATAGTTCACATTTCCCCCTTTTTGTCTAAATAAAAAGGAAGGTTTTTACTTTAACATAGTAAAATCATATATAACAAAACAATTATCAAGTAAGAATTACATTTACAATATCCAGTTCACTTTATTTGGCAAATTTAGAGAAAATATGTATCATTGTGAGTATAAAGTTTTATACCTAATTTACCTCTTTATCATAACTAAGGAAAACTTTAAGTCTAATTATTTAATCTTTAACTCCCTCAAAGACCCAAGAAGGGTGTAATGTTATCTAACAACAGGAATATCTGGCTGCCTGGAGAGTTACCCAAAGTGATGTAATGTTGGGGTATCCAACTTTGGCCTACAGGCCTAGTAATTTTGGAGGACTGTCCTACCTTGTCTTGGCAAAGTTTGGCAGTTGCTTCTTTTTTTTTATATCCTGCTGGTCCAGTTTGGACAATATACTACTGCCAGCAATCAAGACAAGGACAGTTTCTTTGCTTACATGGCTAGCTATATGGAGGTTCTGATGCCCATCATCATTATTTGGAGTAGATTGGTGCTTTTAGGAACAGACAGGTATCCCTGTCATGAAAAACCTAAGGTTATTTTTTTTTTTTTTTTTTTTTTTTGGTTTTTCGAGACAGGGTTTCTCTGTGTAGCTTTGCGCCTTTCCTGGGACTCACTTGGTAGCCCAGGCTGGCCTCGAACTCACAAAGATCCGCCTGGCTCTGCCTCCCGAGTGCTGGGATTAAAGGCGTGCGCCACCACCGCCCGGCGAAAAACCTAAGGTTATTAAACATATTAAATGATATTCTGTAAGTCTTTGAAGACCAACTATCTATTGAAATATGTCTATTTAACTTTGAAAACATACCTAATATGACTATAAGTTTGATTATTATAGATGACTAACCTCTAACCTTATGTATTATTTATAAGTTATACATTATATTTTTAAATGAACTGCATAAGCACAATACCCCAAACATGAGTATAAATATTATACAATATAACAAAATTAACTTTAAATTTGTATCAATAAGCCAAAATCCATACCAATGTAAAATATGTTGAGATTAATGGTTGTTTTTTAATTAAAGTAGATTCAATAATCTACCCATTTTCCTATCATTCCTATGTCATAGCCCCCTTTTTTTCTTGAGAAAGAGATCTTTGATTTAACTCTTGTTTAGCTATGACCAGTAACAACTTGTAACCCTCCCCAAACAATGACAAAGATCTATAATCCATTGAATAACCCAAACCCACCTATACCCCGTCTGTTGGAAATGTGGGTGTTGTTCTCTAGACTACTTCATGTTGTCTGTGGGTGCTGGTATTTTTATGGGAACTTTGAGAAAATTAGGGTAGTTGTTAGAGCTTGGCTGGAGTAGTTTGTGAAGCTGGACCATCTCAGCCAGCAGCCTTGAAGCTGTTTTGGATGCAGAATTCTGAGAAGACTGTAACAGAGACATTTTGAGATGCTGGATCACCTGGGCCATATGTTTTCATTGGTGTCTGGTTCCCTTGTTCTGAAAATACATAAACTTTTAAAGGTAACATATATGTCTGTAGTAATACAAGTATAGACTGTGTGTTATACACAAGTTAGCCAAAGGTGATTTTTCGTTTGATGTTTGAGCAGGTAAAATATATATTATGTGTTTTGTAGTCTTTCTAGGTTTATTTCTTTATGTCTGTAGCCATGACTTTCAGGGAGTCTTCCCCAATCAAACCTGATCCATATCAACCTGGAATGAATCCATAGCTTCTCATTGCCTGTGGAAATAAAAGCATAACCTTTTCCTCAAAGTAACACATATTTTTACTTCCATTTTGAAGTCAAGGCATTTTAAAAATATATAGGTTAGTTTAATCCAGTAGTTTCCATAATCCAGTTTGTCTTAGCAGCTGTCCTTCCTTCATCACCAATCAGAAAATTCAAAGACAACGCAATAGCATACAGGATCCAGATTCCTCATGTATTTTCCATCTTTGCATAGCTTTTCCCCTTTATGTTACTTTATTCTTTCTTTAAAGACTTTTATTATTTTTAAACTGTATTTTTTTATGATTGTGTATACCATTTCTCTTTTCTCTCCCAAGCCTATATACCTTTTTAAATACACTGTCACCCATTTAGAGGCTTTTCTTCTCCATCTGGATCTGTCTTTACTGTGTATCTGTAATCTTTCTGTCTGCATGAGCAAAACTTAAGCCTGCCATGTGGCTTAGTTCATGACATGCTGGTGGAACTCACTCTCGAAGCTCTCATGCTGATGCCTCAAGCCTTCAGGCAGCTGCTAGGAGGCACATCTCTGTACTGTGGCTGCATGAGAGACATGAGACTAGGAAGCTGCATTTGGCTCTGTTTTTGTGTATTTAGAACCTTTTAGGTCTTATGTGGATGTAGGTGTCGGGTGTTTGGGCATCATATGTTGGTAGACTTTTCTGTCTAGACCACTGACCAGCTCTGTCCCACACAAATAACCACACAGAGACTTAATTATAAATGCCTGGCTGGTAGCTTAGGCTTGTTTTTAGCTAGCTCTTATCTATATGATGTCCTGAGGCTCGTCTACCTCGTGTACAAACTTCCGTCCTGCTCACTCTGCATCTTATAGCGTTTTATCTCAATTTCCCGACTCTGCCCTTTTTCTTCCCAGTGTACACTTATTCTGGTTCTCCTGCCTAACCTTATCCTGTCCAGCTATTGGCCAGCCAGCTTCTTTATTAAACCAATCACATTGACATATATTCACTCAGTGTAAACTAATGTTCCACACCAAAGTATTGTACTCTCTGTAGGTTGTGCACTGTGCTCCAGGTTTTCAGCTTTCATAAGCTGTCACTCATGTTGGGGTGGGATTTTGATAATGAATGCAGCTATCTTTGAGTAATCTATAGTCCTTCAAGTCACCCCTCACCCATATTCCTTTAAGTAACCCCCAAAAAATTAATTGATTCACCAAGTTGGACTTTGATGGCATCCTTACTTTGCTCTGTTGTTGGTTTTAGATCTGACTTAAGTAGATATATGTTCATGTCTCCCTAGAAATAGTGTCACACAGCAATTATAGATTTATATAAAAAACAATACCCTCTATATATTGTTTATATAAAACTACAATATAGTTGTAAAAACAATATAGTCAAGACTTCAGTGCCTCATCCAGTGATAATATTTTGCAAAACTATAGTGCAATGTTATAACTAAGATATTGATTTTTACTGTTAAGGTATAGAATATTTCTATATTTATGAGGACCCTTTATGTTGCCATTTTATAGCCATATCCATTTTTCCCCACACCCTTTTTTAAAGCACAATTATCTATTATATGATTATATATTTTACAGCCTTTTGAGATTGGATATTTTTATTTATCATAATTCTCTGGAGGTTCATCCAGACTGTTGTATTAATCGAGTAATATTCTATTACATTGAATATGACTTGTTCCACTATGGAAGGACATCTGGGTTAGTTCCAGTTTTTGTTATTATAAATAAAGCTACTCTAAACATTTGTGTTCACATTTTGTTTCTGTTCCTCTGGGATAAATGCCCAAGAGGGCATTTGTAGTGTCCTATGACAATTCAATGTTTAGCTATTATAAAAATTTCCAGATTGTGTTCCAGAGTAGTTGTGCTCTTTTACATCCCTTACAGCATAATGCATGAATGCTCGGGTTTCTTTCTTCCTGTCTTCCTTACCTCCTGTATTCCTTTCTTCCTTCCTTTCTTCTTCCCTTCCTTTCTTCCTTTCTTAAAAGATTTATATATTTTTTCATGTGTATGTTTGTGTTGTATATGCCATGTATATGGAGATGCCTGAGGAGGTCAGAAAGTGTGTGTCCCCTGGGTCTAATAGTTGCTCAGGGTAGTTTTAAGAATCAAATTCAGATCTTCTGCAGGAGCAAGTAGTGGTCTTAATCTCTCTATCTGGTGTCTTTGTATCCTATCAGTATTTGGCTTTAACACTAAAAAAACCCTTTAGTCCTTCTGTCAGCCTTGCACTGTTATCTCATGTTTTAATTTGGGGTAAAGGTGGATTGTTGAGTCTGATTTTGAACAACTAACCACTAGTCTCAAATATTTTACATTGGTATCGATTTTTTGTATATTGATACAAGTAAGGTTATTTTGTTATATTGTATATATGGCTCTACTTTTGTTTAAGGTAGTATACCTATGCAGCTCATTTAAAACATAATGTATAATTTAAGAAATACAGGCTAATAGTTAGCCATCTATAATAATAAAACTTATAGTTGTGTTTGGTATATTTTCAAGGTTAAATAGATATATTTTAGATATATAGGTGGCCTTCAAACACTTTAGAAACCCCCAGAATATGGAATTTAAGATATTTTAATAACCTAAGTCTTTTCATGACAATGGACACGTCTGCTCCTGTCAGCACTAATTTATTTCAAAAAGGATGATGGGCATTAAAGAACCTCCATATGGAGTTTGTTTTTATTGTGGCAAAGTTAGCCATTGGGCAAGAAACTGTCATTGCCTTGACTGCTGACAATATGCTGTCCAAATTGGACAAGCAGGATGCAAAAGAAGACAATTGCCAAACTTTGCCAATACAAGGTAGGACAGTCCTTCAAAAATTCCTGCTTCACCAAACATCTTTCAGATATTCTAGGCCTGTAGACTGAAGATGAATGCCCCAACATTGCAGAGGAACCCTGGGGTGGATTGTCCAGGCAGACAGATGTTTTGTTATTTCTATAGTTTTGAAAGTTGCTTGCTCTGCATTTCCTGTTTACTCAAGTAATATTATGTCCTTATTGGGTCTCTGAGGGGGTTAAAGATTAGATAGTTATAGTTACAGTTTTTCTTAGTTATGAAAGAATGCAAATTAGGTACAAAACTTTGGACTTACCAAGATAGGATAGATAATGGAATATTTTCTCTGTATTTGCCACATACAGATAGACTGGACATTGTAAATTTAATTCTTACCTGATAATTTATATAGTATATAAATTTATATGTTATATATAGTATATAGTTTTACTATGTTAGAGTTAAAAACCTTTCCTTTTTATTTAGACAAAAAGGGGAAAGTGTTGTGGGATATTTGAACACTTTGTAAAGATGTATTTACCTATGATTGGTGTAATAAAAACCTAAGAATCTAATAGCTAGGCAGGAGGTATAGATAGGATTTCTGGAGAGAGAAAGGCAGAGGAGATGAATGTAGGTGTGCAAGAGACACCAGGAGACACAGAAGAAGCAGGATGGGTGGTACATGATAGACTTTTTATTATTCTTGACTTTTTATAAATTCTCCAAGTTAGACATATATATCTAAAGATTTGATGCTGGTATGTATATAAAAGAGAGCAAGCTGTTTTTGTCTATTTGTGTATAGATTACCTCACTTAGTATAATTTTTTCCTGTTCCATCCATTTATCTGCACTTTCATTTTTATTCTCTGATGAAATTATATTGTTTATATGAACCATGTTTTATTATCCGTTAGTTAGTTGATAGAAATCTGGACTGATTCCATTTTTCTAGTTATTGTGACCAGAGCAGTAATGAATATGGATTAGCAAGGATCTCTATAATGCTATATAGATTCCTTTTGGTATATGCCTAGGAGTGGTATAGTTGAATCATGTGCTAATCATACTTTTAGGTTTTTGAGAAAACTTATTTCTGTGTGGCTGCACAAGTTTACATTATTATCTTGGCCAATATTTGCTATTTGACTTCTTAATGATACCCATTCTGTCTAGGGTGAGATGGAATCTTGAAGTAATTTTAGTCTGCATTTTCCTGATGACTGTTCATGATGTTGAACATGTTGAAAAACATTTATTAGCCATTTATATTTCTTATTTTGAGGACTTGGCTCAGATTTATAGAGTTTCTTTTCTGATTGGATGTTTTCTTAATGTTTCTTTTCTTGAGTTCTTTTCATATTATAGATACTAATCCTCTGTCATGTAATAATCCCTTGACAGATGTACAGCTGATAAAGGTTTTTCTACTATTTTTGTAGGCTGCTACTTTACTTGATTGGTCATTTCCTTTGTTGTGAAGACAGTTTTAAGTTTTGTGAGGTCTCACTTGTCAGTTGTTAGTCTTTCTTCCTGTGTAACCAAGTTCTATTTAGAAAGTCCTTACCTTTCTAAAGGTAAGAACTTTAGCATACTTTTTTAGCATACTCTCCTCTCTTCAAGCAGTTCAGAATTCGAGGCCTTTGCCAGAGTTGGAGGCTGGGACACATTGATAAGGAGGGGAAGGAGAAATTAGCGATAGTGTTGGGGAGGGGAACACTGAGAGTGAAGGAGTTTTGAGGGCAGGAGGACTATCTGGATTTCTGGCAGCTGCTAGTGTGGCCTCTTGTCCATTAGTGAGTCTCTACCTGAGTTCACCTACCTTTCTTCTCACTGGTGTGGCCTGCAATTGAGCAGGGGACATTTATCTTAGTTGGGTGTGAAGAGGGAAGGGGTGGCAGCAGATTGGGTCTTTGTAAACCAAATCAACAGAGTGGGAGGGTTCCAAGGGCGGGTGGCCTACTTGTTCTTCATTATTTTATTTTTAAAGGATTTTTAATATTATTTTTTAGGTGCATGGATGTTTGCCTGCTTGTAAGTCGATGTATCGTTTGTGTGCCTAATGCTCTTGGAGGCTAGATGAGGGCACTAGATCCCCAAGAATTGGGGTTGCTGATAGTAGTGAGTCACTCTGTAGGTGCAGGGAAATTGAACTTGGGTCCTCTGGAAGACTAGCATATGCTGTAACCACTTAGTGATCCCCATAGCCCCATTTTCCTCATTTTAATGTGATGTGATTGCTTTGAATTTTTCTCTATTTAAAATGATGTTGGCTATATGTTTGTCTTATATAAGTTTTATCATATTCAGATATATTCCCTCAAACTGAAGAGAATGTTCTGTATGACTTTTATCATGAGTGGAGTTTGGATTTTTGTTGAAAGCTTTTTTTTTTTTTCATCTCTTGGGGTGATCATGTGATTTCTAGCTTTATTTATGTGATTAATTACATTTACAAATTTGGGTCTGTTGAACCTGTTAGGTCCCTAAAGCAGGCTTTGAAAGGGCAGTGCTGATGGTAATGATTCGACTCCTCCCTGAGCTAGGTTTTATAGTTGGAAGTTTTCCTGTGTCTTGCTCAGTCCTGCAGCCACTCAGACCCAAGTAAACACACAGAGGCTTATATTATTTACAAACTGTATAGTCTATGGCAGGCCTCTTGCTAGCTAGCTCTTATATGTTAAATTAACCCATAACTATTAATCTATGTGTTGCCACATGTTCTGTGGCTTTACCTGTGTCCCATTACATGTTGCTCCTTGGGTGCCATTCCAGCTTTGATCTGGAAGTTCCAACCCCCATTGAGACTTCGGCAACTGTCACGCCTACAAGGCAGGGCCAAGGGAGGTGCCTGGAAACCCAAGATCAGGATGGGCCAGTGCTCTCTCTGTTCTGGGACCCTGAATGGTGGAGGTGGACTGAGCAGAGCTCCAGAGAACACTGCTGGACTGTGATACACCTTCCCCAGACCCCGCGACCTACCTATCCCTTAATTTGCAAGTTACACCATTAAATAAATATCCTTTTAACTATGTGGAGTGGCCTTAATAATTTCACCAATAGGTGGCTGGCTCATGTCTCTTCCCTTCTGACTTTCTTCTTCCTGTCTGTCTGCTTGTATTTCCTGCCTGCCTCTAAGCTGCCTTGCCATAGACCAATACAGCTTTATTCATCAACCAATCAGAGCAATGCATATTCACACCATACAGAAGGACATCTCACAGCTGGGTTTTGCTAGGAAATAAACCTAAACTGTTTCTCAGAAGCCCTTAAAAG